ATGCTGGCCTCTGATCAGGTAGCCGCGTCCATTGTACTCGACAGTTTTTTGGAAGAAGTTAGCACAGACTCGACTTCTCCTCTTCTTAAGTGAGCAATTGGTTGAAATGCTGCAAAGTGGCAGCAGGATTGTCGGAACAGCCTCGGAGTGTGGCATTGCAGTCAAATGCCGAGTTGCCCGCAGCTGGTAGCATATTCACTTGGAGCCAGTTGGTCCAAACTGCCTGCTTTCCTTCGCAACAGCGGATTAAGCGGCCGCTGCACTTGACTCCGCTTCGACTCGGCCGAATTCTGATCGGCCAAACGAGTGAAGTACTCCACCAATTGTCTGACACTTGGCCCACTGTAGCCCTGCCACAAGGAGCCCCCAGTGAAGGCCAACTGCTGCTGCAGAGACGTCTGAGAAGCTTGCAATAGGCGAATATTTCGTCGACGAATCTCACTCGACGTGGTGGTAGGCGAGGCTCGAGCGAGTTGGATGCGATTGAATGTCTTTTCTGTCAATCCTCGGCAATCCGACGTCCAGTTTGGTGCGGCCATCGTGAAAGGACGAGCCTTCCGCCACCTCATCCAGCCCTCGTCCTCTTCTCTTTTCTCTTTTTCATCCTCATCCTCATTCTCATCCTCAGCTTCGTTGTCAAATTCTCCATCACCAAAAGTCCTCTCCTCCACTTCCTCCTCTCTGCTCCTCCAATCGGGCTCAGCCTTTGGTCTTCTCTCCAAATCGCCTCCACGCAAATCGGCCCGTTTACTTCTTCTCGACAAGTTCTCCTTCGTCGTCTGACCTTTAATACCACCCCAAGTTCTGGCGCGCCTGAAGGAGTCGAGGCGACTTTGATGTCTCGGCTTTTCGGTGAATGGCTCTGCATGCCCGTTTGGTGGCTTCTTCTCGCTCGAGTACACAATCGCTTTGGTCAGCTTCGTCGAGTAGAGCCGCTTGCCCGGAACAAAGTCTTTGAAGACTGTGAGACTGACGGCATTCGGAGAGGGTGCCGGTTCTGGCAGACAATTTA